TGGCGGGAGCTGGAGCGCGTCTACAGCCAGCGCAGCCGTATCCACGATGAGCTGAGCCGTGCGGCCCGCGTCCCTGAAGGGCCCCGCGGCGCCACAGGCACCGCCAACGCTGGACCTGCCGCCGGTCCCCCTGGCCTGCGGCGTCCTGTCAACCTCGACTCAGCATTAGCGGCGCTGCGCAAGGAGATGGTGAGTAGCTGGGCCCCAGGCCAGGGGGTTTGACGCGCGAGGGGGCGGGGGAGGGGGGATGCTCCCGATCACGAGAGTCCCTAGGTGGGGCGGAGCCCAGAGGCAGCGGAACCAGGCCTGGGTCTCAGGACATGCAGAAGCCGGTTGGGTCAGAAGGGATATATACTAATACCTTTAACAATACTAATTATAACAATACTAATTAGAGTTACCGTTTATGGCAGTAGTTACCACGTGTTTTTCAATGTTTTTCTCGTCTTATTGCATTCCATCTTTCTAGATGAATGTTATCACCTCTTTACAGATAAGGATCAATGACTTGCCTAAAGATTCATAGCTTGCAGGTGGTGTCTAAGTCCACAAAAATTTGTGCTTAGAAAGTGTGGGAAGATTGGCTATGGCTGTGGCTTGGGCTGAGGGTGACCTGCACCCCAACCCCAGCCCACCCTCAGTCTTTTTCAGGTGGGGTTGCGGCAGCTGGACATGTCCCTGCTGTGCCAGCTGTGGGGCCTATACGAGTCAATCCAGGACTACAAGCACCTGTGCCAAGACTTGAGCCTGTGCCAGGACCTGTCATCCTCCCTGCATTCAGACAGCTCCTACCCACCTGATGCTGGCCTATCTGATGATGATGAACCTCCTGATGCCAGCCTGCCCCCGGACCCACCTCCCCTAACTGTGCCCCAGACGCACAATGCCCGTGACCAGTGGCTGCAAGACGCCTTCCACATCAACCTCTGAAGAGCTGGGAGTGTGGTGGGGGTGGGCATATACCCATGCAAAAGGCTCAGAAACTGCCCCATCAGTAAGTACTCAGACTATAGTGCCTGCTTCCCCCCATACCATCTCATTCCACAGGAGGGCAAGGCCTGGGTCCCTCAAGAAGCATAGCTGCCAAGCCCCTCTCCTGTCAGGTTAGTTGGCACTGAGGCAGGTACCTGGGCTACAGGCTCTGCCCGTGGCACTGGACCTCCACTTGATGTATGCACCCCAGGTTGGCCAACCTTTAGTCTGGCAGTGTGGCCCAAAGCATCTTGCACTTCCCTTGGTGTCTCTAGGATTGGGATGAGTGGCTGGCTCCCATCTCCTTTTCATCTGTGGCAGCTCTTGGCAGCTGCTGGCTCAGGGGCATCCCACTTCTGGTCCCTGGGTTCCACTGCCCTAGACGAGGGCTCCAGGACCCATTCTTGCACCCACCCACAGTCGGGAGGGCCAAGGCTCCGTGCTGGATATTTAAGTTTAGGGGCCAGCCTCCTGGGCGCATAGATAAATAAATATTCTCAGCGTTCCAGTGTTCTGATTGTTTGGTCTCCGGCGGGAAGAGAGCCTTTTCTGGCAAGTGCAGCGCCGTGCTCCGCCGGCAGGTGGCGCCGAGACCCTGAGTGAAAAACGGTTTGGCATTGGCAGGGCGTGAATCCTCCCCCAGATGGATTGCAGAGCTTTCCAAGTTGGCCCAGCTTGGTCCCGCAGTTGTATGTCTGCGGGCGAGTCACTTCCCTCTCTGGCCGGAGGAGGCCTGGGGGCCCAACCTCCTTCCCCACTCGAATTGGACCTTCCTGGCTGGCCGGGAAGGAAGGAGAAGGAACCGCCCATCTTAAGGAGAGAAATTTTCCACCCCGAGTCAGGGCGGAGTTGGGCAGCACAGGAAATGGGTGGGCCGAAGCTCGCTGGCCTAGGGGCCCATCCAAGCCAGAGGGGAAGGCGCCTTCGGGAAGGGCCTGGAAACTAGTGAGTGCCCTATGAGTGGGAGGAAAGAGCTGCTGAGGCAGAAGGAGTCGCCGTCCTCCCCAGAGGCCAGACAAGCCCTGAAAGAGAGATGGGGGCAGTGCCCCAAGCTTTAATGCATAGACAGTGGTGGTGAGTGGTGATTGGGGTCCCAGACACCCCCATTTCTCACTTAGTCTAATACAGACCACCTGGCCCTGCCCACAACACTTGGGACCTTGAGGTTTGTAAGTAAAAGGCTCTCCTAAAGAGGAAATGGAGGACTACACTGCTGGGACTGGGAGCCAAACCCATGGCAGGCCCGCCAGAGGAAGCCTGCACATTTGGGGATAGTGGATACTCATTCCCCCGCCTGCATGCACACACAAACACCCCCACAACTTATGAGACCAAAAGGAGAGGACCTGGAAGTTGCACACAGGCTTTCAGGTTGCTCATACGCATGCCTGGCTGCACACGCAGTTACTTGCCGCCTGGAGACAACTCAGCTGGTACTCCAGGAAGATGAGACGGCCTGCTTGGAATGAGTATTGATCAAGCACCAGGCTTCCATCCATTCACAAACCTTGCAGTGGGCTGGCATTGGCGGGGAGGGAACAGGCTGATGTGTTGCCCCAGGACAGTTCTCTAACTCTGGGCTTGACACCTGTGTGTGGCTCATTACCATGCAGGGTGGATCTGGTAAGTGCTAGGGCTCTAATCTAGGTGTGAACAGAGTGGCTAACGCCCAAGGCAGACTTCCCAGGGGCGGGAGAGTAAACAGTCCCGTTGGTGATAACGGGTTCTATTGAATGAAACTTCGCAAAATATAAGGTTTCCAAGTACAAATTTCCAAGGTTTCATCCTCAATCGCTCTAGAAGGAGGAACCATAATTATTCCCACTTAACAGAGGTGGGAACTGAGACCCCCAGTGGTAGTGCTTTGCCCAAGGTCACACACTTTTTGGAAGGCAGGATTTGAACTCCCAGCTCCGCCTGTTGGATGTTGGGACTGTCTTCCCACTTGACAGCTGAAGAGTCAGGTTCTGACGGGTAAATGGGTGCTGTCCACAGGTAGAGCCACCCAGGTAGGTACCTGACTCTGCTCCTGCTCTGGTTAAGAAGTAGGTGGCAACAGGAGCCTGCCACCCCAGTGTTGAGTACAGTTGGCTCTGGCCCAGACTCGCACTGTGACCATGAGCAAGTCTCTTCCCTTTTCTGGGTCTCTGCTTCCTAGCCTGTGAAATGGGTCTACCAGTACCTACCCCGCAGGGCTGCGGGCAGGAAGGGAGGCGGCCCTGGCAGCGTTTGCGAGGGCGGCACCAAGTCGCTGGTTGCCCTCTCCCGGGCAAGCGCGTTCACACCGCCTGAGCGCAAGGAGCGGGCGCTGCTGTCCCAGCGACCGGTGCCGTCCCGTTCCGCCCCCCCCCC